ATTCCCCTGATTCCAGTATCGGATTTGGTGGATGGGGACCGGGTGCCGAAGTTCCGTGCGGAAACGTAGCTAGGCATGGCGGGGACAACGGAGACCAAACTATTAAGGCCTTCGGATACATCTTTGTTCAGTAAAGACGCTGAACTACATGGTCTGCTCAGGGAAAAGAAGGGCTACGCTGGATGCAACATTGAGCAACATGGTCTGCCCGAGGTTAAGGATTAAGGGTTAAGCTGCATGTACCATTGAGCAATTAATTTCAGTAGTGAGGACTTTTTATGTGGGTTTTTGCTTTTGCTGTGAAATGAAGGGAAAATAAAAGTGGGTCAATGAATCAATATCATGTCTCGGTAGATGTGTTACAATTGCACAATCGAAAATGTGTTGTCCATGAGATTTTAACTCGCTTACTCCCAGAAGCAGCCAATAAGTCATTTCCCTTTAAGTATTTCACCAACACACTGTTTGGAAGATGAGAATCATCATAATCATGTGATAAAAGTGGGTCAATGAATCAAAATCATATCTCGGTAGATGTGTTACAATTGCACAATCGAAAATGTGTTGTCTATGAAATTTTAACTCGCTTACTCCAAGAAGCAGCCAATAAGTCATTTCCCTTTAATTATTTCACCAACACACTGTTTGGAAGATGAGAATCATCATAATCATGCGATCTCGTCCAAAATCTTTCGACCCCTCCTTAGGCGATTAATAAAAATGTTTGAATTCTTAAGAAATTAGATAGAAACTAAGTCAACTGCCTCCCGAAGAACACAATTTCAAACTAACCCAGTTTTGCAATACAATTTTTCTTCCGCTAACCGTCTTAATGAAACCAAACAACGATTTCGAAGGTAATCACCGTCGCAGAGGTATTTAGGCAAGTCACCTAATTCCCTTTCGCGCCAGTTGTGTTAGATCTTCTGCGGACGAGATTTAGTCGAAGGAGACTAGTGGATAATCCGTAGATTGTGAACATAGGATGTTGCCTTCTCATTATTAACTGTAAATTTTCTCTTAAACAATTTCGCCATCATTTTGAACTCGAATTACCTCAAGTGGGACTGCAGAGTGAGTTAGTCTCGACCTGGTATTGGGATTCATACAAAAGAAAACTACGAGTAAAAATGAGGATCCAGTCATTATTTTTCGCCGGGGATAGGAGGGCTATAAGGATTTTTGGGATCACATACTTTTCAAGGGGAAGGGAGGGGGGATCAGTCGTGGCTAACAGGGTACAGAAGGGGAGCCATAGAAAATTCACTGCCATGAGTGGGGATCATAGTACTACAGAGCCCTAGAGGAGATCACGTAAAAGTTATGGTGAACCGCAAAATCCTTCGACCCTCCTCTCCCCTCACAGGTGACAAAGGATGACTGCTCTCTAAGAAAAGCGTGCACTCTAGTCAAACAGATTTCTTACAATTCCAAAGTTATACTTCTTTTTTAAAAGTGATGGCGTCTCTTCGAAATAATTTCATTAAGTATATAACATCTTTTTGTGTAAGGAGTGAATCTCCTTGCAGAGTGTTCTGCTGATAGGCTCCGAATTATAATTTAAAGTCATCGCAGCAAAAATACTTAAAACAGTCGAATAAGCTTAAATTCATTTTTAAAGGACCCTTCGCTTGGTTGTTACAAGGCCAACACCAAATGATCATATCGACCGATCAAAGAAATGGAATTATCTCAAGGAGCCATTCAAAACTCGAAATAAAGGGAGGCGCGGGAAAATGCGAGAAGTCAAAACGTCACTAACTCCAGTTTTGCATCTGATTGGTTGAGAGTGTGACGTGAGTTGTCTGGACCAATCAGAGAGCAAAGAAAAACAAAACCAAAGCTATCCCGGATTACTTACGACGCCCAACTGAAAATTAGAAACATTTCGACGAGTGTTTGAGTATTTCTTAGGCAATAAGTCTGTCTTGTTCGCCTTCTTTTTCTTCTTCCTTGCTGATTCTCGTCAGATAACTTAGGAGTTCACTGGCCTGATGTCTGTGTTCCCTGTAGTTAGAATTCAACAGGATTTGATGTAGTAATGATATGTACCCCGTTCTCATCTATAAGGAAAAAAGTAATTCGTCTCAGTTGGGAAACTCATCTCTACTATCTAAGACAAAATAGATGGAGGGGGAAAGGTTTCAGTTAAAGAAACTGTACTGCCGCGTCGGTGGAAGTATTACAGGTTAATTGGGTTTTATCAACTGAGTTGATAATTAACAACTATTCCACGAGTGCGCGTTGGATATGAGATGCCAACGAGGCGCGTAGATAGATAGCCAAAGAGGCGCCTAGCGCCCACTTGGCTATAATCATCTCAAGCTTGAGGGAAAATTCGCGTACACTTACCATATTTATAGATTATGGTATATGGGCTCATATACCATAATGGCTAAGCCGATAAAAAGTCTTGAATTACATTATCCAATGATCCAGTTGTAATAAGGTGAGTTAGCCAATAAACAGAGTTCCTACAGCTGACGTTTGGAGCGTCAGCTCTTCATCTCTCCCTTTAACGAAGGGCTAACGCTAAAAATGTCAGCTTTAGGTACCCGCTAGGGTGGCATGGTATTTTGTATTTATCAATTAAGTTGATAAAACCATATTATTTACTTTTCAATGTCTTTTAACATGGTGGGATCGCCAAAAACACAATAAAAAAAGACGTTTATAATCGGCAAAATCTTAATGATAAGACAGAAGTTGAACATATTCTTGATTATGAACGAATGAACATGTCCCTCCTTCTGTAACAACAGCTAGACGCTCTCTCATCTTAAATCAAATTTAAAACGAAGACTTTTACCGTGTAAGGCATGAAAATGGGAATGGGGGGCAATGCTTCTTTCTACCCCTCCCCCCTTGGAGTTGTTATTGTTTCTACAAAACAGAATCTCTTTACCTACAAAGTGTTGTTTAAATGCGAGTATGAGAGGCACAAAGGTCTCCGCTAACTCTTCATCATCTTCAGCGCTTTCAATGGCATCAATAAGAAACTCCACAAATAAATCGTTTACTTGGTCTGTTGTAACGAAGTTTCCAGAAATCGAGCGAACAATTTAGAACAATGAATTGCCACACCACTGTTGTTATTAGGGACCTTAAGATACTGGACGCGGCTGCCTTTAAGAACGCGGTCACGTCCGAGAGGGCATGGGACGTGACCGCCACCTTTGCGCGGGAAATACGAGCCTAAGATTTGCAATGTGGAGGCGGTGGCCGAAACGCATAACAACAAACACATTCAGTCAGAGAATAACTGCTGTAATCAGGCGGTTTTGCTGCTATGACGTAGTTTAAGAAGACCCGAGAGCTTTTAACAGGCTCTTATTTGGCCCAAATCATTTCTGACGGAGAATTCGTGCTCCTCTATGACTACAGCTTTTTAAATAACTTAGAATTACCGTATGAAGAGTACGAAAGATTTGACCTCGAAGAAAGATGGCGCAAAATAATATAAATAATGCAAAATCATTTTCCAAAGCGGTCCTAAACTGCCCCTGATTAATTTTAAACAATAAAAAGCAAGGTTAAAATGACAAATAAAGCAATACTGTCCGAGGATATTTACCCAGATTTACCTGCTTTTCGGATTCCTTTCTGAAGACTTGACGTTCACACAAAAACCCTCTATATGCTCGGTAAATCTGAATTATGAAAACAAAAATGAACCAGACATTTTAGGAATCTATTTCGTTTATAATAATGTTTGCAAATTTTATGCAAAACTTGTAAATTTAAGGGAAGAATTCGGAAAAATGACTCACCTTTCTGAGAGGCCGCCAAAATAAACTTCGTTGCCGCCACAACTGAGCTGGTGGCCGTCAAGTGGCGTGACATTTATGCAAATCAAAATTGAGATCTTGCGAATTTACTTCCGGTTGACGTCGTCCAAGGCCGAGTCCAGGGTCCAGAGTCCCTATTAGCAGTGCTAGAGGCTTCTTCTTATAACGGAACATTCTGTTCAGTTATTTTAAGGATATCCGTCATGAACGTCTGGATTGTTCTTACCGCTAAAAATAGCGCTTCAGAAAGAGATATAACGTAACCGGCTATTATATATAAGGCTCGAGATCGTAAGATTTTCTGAGATTTTTTGAGGTTTAACAAACCACTGTAAAGTTATGTCGCAGACCAATAAAGTGTTTTAAGAGGAAAACAGGAATCTTCTCTTAGCTTCGTGACATCTGTTTACCGCAGAAAACCGTTTTAAATGAAAAAGAAAGAGAAAGTCTGACAAACGAGCAAAAACACAGTAAAGATAACTGATTAAAACGATCGACGGGAGATTGAGGGTTTATTCTAGAAATTGGCCAAACAGGGGCCAGTAGGCCCCTTTAATTCTAGGGAGGCTCCTTGAGAAAAGGGCCCGAGAATGGGGTCCTCAAAACATGTGAACGGTTTTAAATAGTCTAGTCAATGAGAAAACGAAAAACAGAAGAACAGTTGATGCAGCACGAGGCTATAAAGTTGCTCTCCGATCATTCTTGTAGTCAATTGTGTTTTCGAACACCCCATTTAAAAAAAAAACACGAATCCTTCAAAATAGTACGTACAAGTTCGCACAATGTTTAGTGACGCATTTGACGCTTAAACGCAAGTATGTTTTTTTTTGTAAATTGCAGAAATACCCCAGAGCCGCGTTCTCGAATACATCCTGGTAACAACTTGTTGAGAATAAGATAATTGCCTGACAACACAGTGGTTTTCCCGATAAACTCGCGCTAAAATCAGTCATTCATGATATAATTTTTTAACAGATACATTTTTCTATCACAACGTGCCGAGTTTTTTTTACAACAAACGTGGTGTATTTTAGAACAAAGGAAGTACCATCGGTGAATGTTTCCTTTGATTGGTTACAGTTACTAATGAGGACAGATTCGATGCCAATCCCTCTCCGGTGGACTAAACAACGAAATTTTTAAACACGTTAAGAAAGGTTTGATTATGTAAACACACGATTTCCGACAAACTATCACGTTGCTGAACATTGTCGATTAACGAACCACGATTATGACTGGGACTGTGTTCAATGTTAAAACTACATTGTACTTTCAATAGTTGACTTTGCAGCTGGTTTAGCTTTGGAGCTGGTTTACTGAATTAAAACAGACTCTTCCAAACAGCTGTCAACAACTACAGTCGAACCTGTATTAAAGCGTTCAGCCACAGGGGACAGCTTAGTACAGGTTGACCGCTAAATACAGGTTCCACAGATTAGGGGGCTTTCTAAAAACGATACACAACGTCACTTTATGGGATAATTGACCACTTGATGTATAGAATCTCGCCTAAAAATACTGTTTACTTTGATTTTAGGAGAGAAACATGGATTTAAAAATTACTTGAAAGACTATTCTTACGTATAACAATGTTACGTTCACGACACCAAAATTTAGATTTCTTTTAAAATGCGTGACCGTCCGACTGCTATGAGTGATCTGAATAGCGACGTTCTTTTAATACGCGACTGGTGCTTTAACAATTTCCTACTTTAAATCCTGACAAAACAAAACTCATAGTCTTTGGAAGTCGACAATTGCTTGCCAAACTCCCCGACTTTAAAATATCCCTTCTCGGAAAAGATCTCGCTCTTGCATCTTCGGCCAAAGATCTTGGTGTTGTTCTAGATCCGCAACTTACGTTCGACGACCATGTTTTAAAAACTACCTCATCTTGTATGTCAAGCCTCGCACAAATTAGTCGGGTTAAACATGTTCTTGACGGTAACCAACTGGTGACAGTAATAAATGCCCTAGTCTTTAGCAAATTTCTGTACTCTTTTACAGTGTGGTCGAACACCTCAAACAAAAATATCTGTAGATTACAGTCTGTGCAGAATTTTTCCGCGCGAATCATTACAGGAACCAAGAAATTCGAGCACATAACCCCCGAATTAAGAGATCTTCGCTGGCTCCCAATTAAACAACAGCTTTTCTTCCGCGACGCTGTCACTGTATTTAAATGCATGAACGGTCAAGCCCCACGTTACCTCTGCGACCAAATTACGACAAAAATTACGGTCACCGGGCGCGTGCCTCGAAGTTGTCAACTATTAAACATTGCCTTCAAGTATAGGTCGAGTGCCGGACAGGGAACATTTTACTATCGCATACTGCATATCTGGAACAATCTTGACAGTGCTCTTAAAACTTCAGAATCGATTTTTACCTTTAAATTTTATCTGAAAAACAAATTGATTACTGACTTTTCAAATAGCACGATGTGATAGTGTTTTTTATTACCTTATTAGTATTTTAATTTATTATAATTTTAACTTGAGTTTTTCATATGGTATAGTATGTAGTGATAACATTTATTATGTGATTAATTCTTAAGTAGGTATGTTTATATGGTTTTTAATTGCATTGTCACCGAAAAGCCCCACCAGGGGAGTGATAATAAACTATTTTATCACACGACTCGGGCAGTTAGAGGGCCAATAACTAAAATCAACCGATCAAAATGCTCTATTGCCGGTCAATGTTCTCTCAGTATTGGACTGGACACTGTTCCGAATGGTCCCGAATGATACCGCACTTGTGTCCCTTTGAACTTCAGTCGTATAGTAAATCTCTTATGAACCAAGCTTGCTCGGGACCGTACTGGAAGAATATCGGCCCTCGGTCTTTCTTGTACGGACCTCGCTGCGCTCGGTCCGTACTGCCAATAATACCTCGGGCGGATATTCTCCCAGTACGGCCCTCGCGCTTGGTTAATAAGATATATGTATTGTATTGTATGTTTGAGAGGTTCCGCTTTTAGTGGCCGTTCAATACAGGAACGCTAGGACTTAGTAAAGGTTGACCGCGAACAGATAATAGAGGTGACTGCTAGATAGAGTTGAATTTGGGACTTTGACAACTGACCGCCTAATACATGGTGACCGCTTAATACCATGCCGCCTCATTCAGGTTGCACTGTGCTACCATTATAGAAATGCCTTATTCTAGAAACTAACATAAACAACCACCTGAAAAATTTTCACAATTAACAATGAAACTTCTCACTGGACTCTGAAAGTGAATACTGCTTAGGTAATCAGAAATTCGTTCACTATCACCGACAACAGCCCTTCTCGCGTCTTTAAACTCTCTGCTGTACGATCAAACTGCACAATCAGTATAAAAAAATTAGAGGAAAGGACTCACCGTAAACGGTAACTGGAACAGCTGATTCTCCAGTTGAAAAAATCCTAGTCATTAATATTGCACAAAGACGCTGCATTGAAGCACCTGAAATATTCATCATATATCACAAATTACAGTTATTATCGTATGTTATCAAATCAAATTAGGCCGTAGTTTCCTGACTGATGGTCAGTCGGTCCACCTATGTCTGTATGGCCGTCGGTCTCATCGACCGTCTGGTTGTCTGACTGTGTCTGAATCACTATCTGACCGTCTGATTGTCTGTTTGCCTGCCTGTTGGTGGGTCAGTTGGTAAGTCTGACCATCTGAAATGGTCTTCCTAATATCGATCGCACATGCACAG